GTGTGTGTGTGTGTTGAAGATACTGAAAAATGATTATATTTACCCAGGTATTTTTGGAGTTCTTCATTCCTTCCTGCTGATCCTTGGTAGCTCATGATTTCATTTTCCTTATTCTGAAGAACTTTATTTTGGCATTTGTTATTATGTGGATCTCCTGGGGACAAATTCTGTTGGATTTTTATCACATTGAGAGTGTTTCTATTTTGCCTTTATTTTTAAGGGATGTTTTTTTGGGAAGTAGTATTTTAGGCTGGCAGCTTTTTCTTGTAGTATTTAATAGATACTGTTCCATTGCCTGTTTGTCTTCACGATTTCAGGTTAGATGTCACTTGTAACTCATGTAGTTGTTTACTGAATGTAGTTTTTTTCCTCTGATTTTAAGGTATGTTTTTTTAATTTGGTTTTCAGAATTTTGACTGCTATGTAATCGGGAGTGTTTTATTTATATTTATCTGTTTAGAGTTTGCTGCAATTTTTTGATCTGTGGGTTGCTATCTTTTATCAGTTGTGGAAATTTGTCTTCCAATATCTCTTCCAGTATTCTCACCCATTTTCTCTTTTCTCACCTTTTTGTACTCCAGTTATACATAAATTGGATAGTTTACTTTTTTCCTCATGGATCGGTATTGGTTTTTATAAATCTCTTTTTGTCTTTCAATCTTATACATTTGGCCTTCTGTATCCATAGGTGATATGTGGATTCAGCCAACAGTGGGTCAGAAATGTAGTTAGGCCTACAGTGGTAGTGTCTGTACTAAATGTGTACAGACTTTTTTTTCTTGTCATTATTGCCTAAATGATACAGTATAACAACAATTTACATATCCTTTACATTGTAGTAAGCATTACAAGTAATCTAGAGATGATTTAAAGTATACAGGGGATATGCATGGGTTATATGCAGATACTACGCTATTTTATATAAGGTGCTCCAGCGCCTCTGGATTTTGGTATCTGAGGGGTCTTGGAACCAATCTGCCTTGGATACTGAGGGATGACTGTACTTCTTATTCATTTGTCTCTAAACTCATTAAACTTTTACTCTACCAATTCCAGTTTCCTTCTAAATCTGGCCAATGAAATCAACATTTTATTATTTCCTGTCTTGATCATATAAATTTTTTTTGCTTTTTAGTATATCTTGTTTTGTTTGTTTGTTTGTTTGCTTTTTGCACGATGGAGTCTTGCTCTGTTGCCATTTTGAAGTGCAGTGGCTCAATCTTGGCCCACTGCAACTTCTGCCTCTCTGGTTCAGGCAATTCTCCTGCCTCAGCCTCTTGAGTACTTGGGACTATAGGCGCACACCATCATACCCAGCAAATTTTTGTATTTTTAGTAGAGACTGGTTTTCACCAGGTTGGCCAGGGTGGTCTCAATCTCTTGACCTTGTGATCACCCACCTTGGCCTCCCAAAGTTCTGGGATAACAGGTGTGAGCCACCGCACCCAGCCTCTTGTACTTTTTTGATTGTGTGCTCGACTGTGATGACTGAAATGAATATTATCATTTCCATAAAGGGTGTGCTGCTTTATCTCTTAGGTTCCTGCAGTGGGGTGAAGTCAATCTGATTTGTATTTGAGCTGGGCATGTGCTTTATTGCAACTTTGGTTTAATTAAGTCCACTCAGGTTTCAAGTGTTTTGAGGGTGGGATTAGGACTTTCCCTTCTACAGGGTCTGTTCTCTGGGCACTGTGGAGATTCTGAAGATCTTTTCATTTTTTCAATCCTTTGTGTTAATTTTCAAGATTTTCACTCTCTCCTGTTTTGCCATGTTTTGTTATTTATTTAACACACTCATATTAAGGGAATACTCTATATTGGATATTGTAATAGAGTAAGAGCAATTAAACTGATGGATACTCTCATAACACTCAGTGAGTTTACAGTTTGGTGAGGGCAGCAGATAGCATGCAACAAATAGTTGCAAGAGTAATAATAAAGGGGGAGTATCAGTGGGAATGTCTGAGAGATAAGTACCTGAGCCAGGGGATTGGGGATCCTTGTTTGAGGGAGTAACATTTAAGTTGAGATGTGAAGAATGTTTTTAGTTTACTTATTGTTGAGTGGAGTAGGCTGGTTCTGAAGTGTTTAGGACAGAAGAAACCTCATGGAGGTCCTTGAGGTGTCTAAACACAGTGAGGCTGGCCAAGGTCAAGACCTGATGATTCTAGCCCTCTGAGGCCATGTTAAGAACTAAGTGTTAAAACGTTCTCTCATGGAGTTCAGAGTAACTGTGGGTGGCTATTGCAATAGTTTACTCTGGTGAAGGATACTGGGGCTGTCAGTGAAAGTGATGGCAGTGATGATGGGGAGAACAGGGTGGATTCGTAGGTGGGATTGACAGAACTCAGTTGATTGGATGTAACGGATGAGAGGAAAAAAAATATGTCCTCCAGCATGAGCTAGAATGAATGGCGGCCACCACTGATGGAAACAGAGGGTGAGTACAGGCTTGGGAAGAAGACATGAGTTCAGTTTTGCATGTGTGTTTGAGATGCCTGAGGCACTGTCAGCCAGATACCTAAGGGGATTAAGGATTAAGGAGTGAGCCATTTGCTTATAGAGAGTGACTGGAATCAGAGTAGTGGGTCACTTGCTCAGCAGGCGTGTGTGGAGAGAGAAGTAATATGGCCTATTACAGAAATTCCAGCGTTTGAGGAGAGTGAGAGACAAACCTGTTAAAGGAAGCTGAGGGCCAACTAGAGGTGCACGAGGACAATGAGGAGTGTAAGAGTCACAGAAGCCACAGGGAGAAAATCATTAGGAAGGATCAACAGTGTTGCATGGTGCTAAGAGGTCTGGTGAACCAAGGACTTGGGATCGTCTGTTAGATTCTGTGGCTTGGAGGGGAGGCTAGAAAGAATGAGTTTCTTCTTGTGATGGGTGAGAATCTTAACTCCATTTAAAATCTTGAGCCTACACATTCTATTTTAGAGGACTTACTAGATTAGTGCTCTAGACCATGTGTACCTGTTAATGATCCTAATCAGGTGCTTTTAAGCACCTTTCATGCTGCTGCACTGTATTTAACTTTCCTAACTTGTCCCTTTAGGCTTCTCACTACGAGTTTCATTAATCAGACATCTAATTCTCTTAAAGCCTGAGTGCTTCACAGTTCACAACTCTTTGTTGTATTCCCACTTTGATACTAACATCTTTTTTTTTTTTTTTTTTTTTTTTTTGGAGACGGAGTTTCACTCATGTTACCCAGGCTGGAGTGCAATGGCGCCATCTCGGCTCACCGCAACCTCCGCCTCCTGGGTTCAGGCAATTCTTCTGCCTCAGCCTCCCGAGTCGCTGGGATTACAGGCACGTGCCACCATGCCCAGCTAATTTTTTGTATTTTTAGTAGAGACGGGGTTTCACCATGTTGACCAGGATGGTCTCGATCTCTTGACCTCGTGATCCACCCGCCTCGGCCTCCCAAAGTGCTGGGATTACAGGCTTGAGCCACCGCGCCCGGCCTGATACTAACATCTTCATGTATACAACGAAAGCACTTGACCTTAAGTTTTGTTTCTATTTTCATTCATTCATTTTCTTTCTCACCCCCTGTTTCTCTGTAGAAAGTATGGTAAATTACTGGAAAAAAACCTTAAATTGAGAACTTATAAAATGAATGACCAGAGTTCTCATTTTCAGTATTTGGACAGTGAAATTTTGCTTTCCTGGTGTGATTCATCAAAACCAGTGATTCGAAGGCCTCTAGGATATGGCTTTGTGGCCTGGATAGAGAAAATTCTTCATGAGTTGTTATTTCCTTGAGCTGGGTTTATAATGGGTTCGACTCAATACACACAGTGTATCTTTTACTACTGTGAATCCAGGAAGTTTCATGTAGAGGTACAGAGACTTTTCAGACACACAAACCTGTTGGACATTTCTGGTTGTTTGCATTTATTACTGCCTAACAAAAGTTAAACAGATATATGATTCTTTCCAGTTGTTTCTGTATCGTTCTCCTCAGAAAAGTAAAAGCTATGAAGTTTCACATCTCATTCATAGTAGATCAGTTAGATGGATTCCTTGTAAAGCTAGGCAAAATTGTCAAAATTTGTTAAAGGACATCACCTTAATGGACAGGGTAAAGAGGTTTTGTGTATAAAGTTGGGAGGAAAAGAAAAACCCAAATAACTTACACCGATTTAAAAAATGCATGAATGCAGAAAATTGGGAAGACAAACTTGAAGTTAAAAATTTTACTTAGGTATTTAATGTAAAAACATTTTAGGTTAGGAGAAGGCAGTGCACTGCTCTTCAGTCGTGCTTTTCCTGGTCTTTTCCATGAGAGTGTAGTGAGAAATAACTAACACAATCTATATTTGTAGCAATTGGAGTCATGTTGGAGTGGAAAATTCCATGCTAAGCAAAGACACGTAAGATTGCTGAAAGGATAAGCTTATGTAGGAAGGATAAAGCAAAACGTTTCATGCTGCCGTTTTCTCGGGCTGGAGAGCTGGGGACTGCTCAGAACACTTTCCAATGCTGTTTGCCCACAGAAAGAGTGAGGCCCAAATGGTACTTCGGTGAAAAGAATATCTTTTAAAAAATAGCCTCTTGCTTATCCTTGTATCAGAGAGAAGCCTCCCCAGTCTCCATTCATTAGCCACGCTGTATCCAGGAGTGAATTCCCAGAGCACAAGCCTACGCCATTGTGTGTGCATTCTCTGCTCTAGAATTCTTGCACATACTTATCTGGACTTCCACGTTCTCTGTGTCACAGCTTTCCTTTGATGACGATGTCAATTTAAAATGATACCAGGTTCATGATGGTTCCCTCTGGGAGAATTTACACCCTGAACATTTGGGGGGTGTACCTTTACCATTCCCTCCATCTTTCCTTTCTTTTTGAACTTGTCAGAGATAGACCTTAATGTAATTCCTGATGGTTTTAATATTAGAATGAAAAATTAGGATTTCTGCGATTATTTAGATGAATGATAATGACTTTTGTTATGTGGGTCTGGTCATCGTGTGGTATTTTCTCCCCCTCTCCCCAGGAATGCTGTCTCTGCAATTTGAGAGGAGGTGCTCTTAAGCAAACTAAGAACAACAAGTAAGTAATACATTAATTGTTTTGAATTTCATTACTTTTCTTTCTTCATTCTAGAACCTTTGGATGACAGTTCACTTTACCTCTCGTTGTATACATGGTTTCAAAGCTTTTGCTGCTCAGATCTGAGGTTGGAATTTTGTACTTCAGAGATGTCTGCTGTTAGCATTCTCATCTCTGCTGGGCAAGAGTAGTCCAAGTTATGCTTCTGTTCTTTGTATTTGACACCGTGATAAATAACCCCTCTTTTACTCGCAGGGTTTTAAGACTGAAGGCAGTCCTTATCATCCTGATGCCATTAGAATCCTGGTGTCTAATATGATGGATGCTATTGGTCTGTTGAAAGCAGGGCATACCTGAGAAAGTGAAACTGTGATCTTCTGATTAAATCAGTCATAGCGATGATAATAAAACAAAACCATTTACTTTTTACATTAGCAAATTAACAAGAATGTATGTGTACTAAATTAGAAAAGATAGGGAGAAAACATTAATATTAAGATTTAAAGGGATCAGGTAGAGAATATGAAAAGTCTTGAAAGAGAGTCATAAGTGAACATAAAAGGAAGCCAATCTAGTTTTTATGACTGTTCTGCGCGGATTTTATTTTTATTTTCATGACCAGGTTTTAATATTGAAAATGGGGCCAAAGCATATTTCAGGGTCCACCGGAATAGAGACATGTCAAAATAACTTAGGCAGATTTTGCAGACTGGCCCTTGAGGGCCGGATTCAGGTCCAGGATATGTTTTGTTGAACCCATGCAGTAGTTTATAAATTTCATCTAAAATTTTAAAATTGAGAGATTTTTACATAAAAATCCAGATTTTCACCTTTAATTGAAAATGATTGTGTATCCCTGTAAAGCAATAATAACAAGTTGGGATGAGAACCCAGTGTCAGTGAGGCAGGTGCTCCTCAGTTCACCATGATTTCTTAGTATATGTGTATTTGCTTACATCCCGCCTGACCCCCTGGGCACTGGAGTTAGGACTCCTGGTATAATGTGATAGTGGAGTTAGCATAATTCTATACATTTGCACATGTTTCTGATTGCTTGGAAGGAGGAGTGAAGGTATTCATCATTATTACATTGATAAAATTTATTGTAAGGAACCATAAGTTTTGCTTAATTTTGGATCATCTTCTTTCACGGTCCTGTCTGTTATGATTGGCACTGTACTAAAAAGTCTTCATTTGTTCTTGGATATTGCAGGGAATGCCAGACTGTGAGATGGTTTAGATGGTTCCTGTAAAAACACAGGTGATAAGAAGTTCTCTTCCTATGCTTGGACCACTACAGAAAACAATAGTGTTTTCTATAGAATCATAGTATTTATTTCGACATGGAAGAATACCCCAGCGGGGTTGATACTTGTTCTCTCTTCCTGTGGTCTTGAACGACGGGATAGAGTATGATGCTGTTTGAGTCAAGTAAATACACTTTGGCTTAAAAATAGATTGATGGATTTGACAATTCTTTCAAGATCTCTTCAAACCTCATGGCTCTTTATATTTATTTTGGGATATAACATTTATGAGACACTTAATAGTATTAGTGGGAAGGTTGTCACTTTTCAGAATGTGAGAGAAGATACTAGGATTTAAGTAGGAAACAAGGGTACAAGATAAACTTCATTTGTCTTTGTCTCTGGATTCCTTTGACTATAGTAAGGTTGCAGCAAGAAACAAATTAACTAAAGATTAGCATTAATTCTTTTGGAAAACTTTTGTTACTTGAACAAGTTTGCTTCATGACATTTGTATTATTTCAAAAGGTTGTATGCTGTAGCCAGTCATACCTTTTATTAATTGAACTAATCTTTTGCCACATATTGATTAGCTTAAATACATTAAGCACATGCCTATTCCAGCGTCAAATGAAATAAGAAACCAACATTTCAGTATTTTCCAGATCAAGTGTAAAAAAATGCATGCACGTTAATAGGATTGAGTCCTGGACCTGTGCCAGCTCTTCATGGTACAATGTTGTTGGGCAGCTGTGGTACTGGGTTTGCCCAGGTATCATTCAGGAGGTTTACAGTTCAGAACCTGTTTGTGATGGATTTAGGCTTTTGGATTTCTTGCTCATCTGTGTTTTTCCCATTTGTGAGAATTGGCATCACCATGTTGAAGTATGTAAGCTTAGGGAACGTTTGTTGATGTTTAATGTCTCCTTTCCTGTAGGTGGGCCCATGTCATGTGCGCTGTTGCGGTCCCAGAAGTTCGATTCACTAATGTCCCAGAAAGGACACAAATAGATGTAGGCAGAATACCTTTACAGAGGTTAAAATTGGTGAGTGGCAAAGCTTCTTTTTTACCTCATAAATTAGTGTTAATTTCCAGTTATGAACTTCTCTGTAAATGCACACGTTTCCAAGATACATTTTCTCCTAGCTTCCTTTTGTTTCCACCCTTATTTTCTTTTAGCCTACATTTATTTATTCTTACAGATTCTTTTCCTGTTATATTGTAAGTCTGCGTACAGTTTTCCTCAAATTCTGTCTGAAATGAGGAAAAAGATATTAATACATTTCCTGAATTAATGTGAACTTTCAAACTATAGGTTATCTGGTAATATTTGTCAGTGTTGGAGGTGAGCCATCTAACTCTATTTAAATTGTTTAGTTTTTCTCTCTTGACTGTCTTTGGTTGGTGTTAACCTAGCAAAATGTATCTAACCTAATTTCATTATCTCTTCACCAAGAAGAGACACACAGAGAAATAAAGAAACTTTTATTATTACAAAAATATTTTCTCACTCATGAATAGGTACAAGTCGCTTAATATGCCAAACTCTCTGGCCTGTTCAGAAACTGTCATAAAAATATTCCTGTTGGTTTCCATTAAGAGTATCTTTCATTGAAAATATAGGCCTTTATTATCTCTAACATTGAAGTAACTTTGTGTTTTATTCAGTTATGAACCACCAGATCATTAGTTTAGGCCCTTATATTGCATACCTAATTAGAACTTTCCCTAAAGTTGAACTGCATGACCTTAATATATTGGAGCACGTCTTACAGGTGGATTTAAAACTCTAGAATTTCCCAAGTCCTTGTTATTTTCCATTGAAGGTCTTTTCACTGTACAGCATTTCAGGTACCATCATCATGACTCTTTCTTCTTGACTGTTGCTTGATTTCTCACTGCTCCTTTCCCCAACAGGGAGCTGGGTGTTCCATGTCTGGGCCTGTCTTATAGGAACTAAAAATCTAGTGTACTGTCTTGTTTTCTGAGAAGTGAAAGTGAACACCGTTATTTGCCATCATACCTCCATCAAGAATTTCACTTCAGTAGGAAGTATGTGGGCCTTTCATGGAACTGATGATGCTGTGGGCTGGTATGAACGGTGGGCCCAGGATACTCAGCATGTGGCAGTTGGAAGTTTAGTAATCTAAGATGGAAGTGAGTGGGCCATTTAAATGACCCTCTAAAGATCACAGTGACTATCAGAAGTAGTAAGAATGGAGTATAATTCTTTAGCTCCTCGACTTCCATAGGAAAGGTTGAAATCTTGTACCCCGATTACCAAACAAAAAGACACCAAAAAACAAACAAAACATTTGCAAGATTTAGGACTATGAGACCTGATATCCAAAAAAATGTTGAACTACCACATGTTAAATAATTTAATGTTTAGTGTTACAAATATTAACATTTTAATTTTTTTCTGATTATAAAAGTAATATATATTTGTCCAAAGTCTGACACCACCTTTTAAAGTTACCTTTGTTTCTGTCTTCTGTTGCTAGTGCAGTACCCCTCAGAAGGAGTAGTCACTGTTCTTGAGGCTGCCTCCACAGGCCTGTGTCTTGGCTTCTCTAGTCCATAAATACGTCCTTAAACATTTAACATTACCTGCACCAGTCCCAAAGGGTTTTTGAGAGAATAGCATGGAAGGGCGGCCCGGTTATTTCAACCACATTCAGGGTGTATGGCTAGAAATATGATAATTGCATCTAAAGATGGTAAAGCTTGTTGCTTTCCTCACAGTGCTGTGTTTCATCTTGATCGTGCATGCCACATATTTCTCATGGAATGTTTCCTTCCTTAAGTGATCAGTACCTTAAAAAGAGCATGTCTTAACTGAGTGTCATAGCACCTAAAGTCTATTCAAATGACAACACAGAGCTGTGCTTACAGATATAAGCTGATATCTATGAAGTATTTTTTTATGAAAATAGCAGCCTATAGACCAGATTATTTTTCATATAATTTTATATTTATGGAAAGTTTCTTAGAATTATCCTCATCAAAATGCTTATAGTAGTTACCTTTAGTGGAATAGTAATATGAGAAGAAACTTCATTTGGGGGAAGAATCATCCAGTTTCTAATAGTTTGACAGGGGCAACCACCAGAAGTCTGGATTCTTTTTTACTAAGAGTCCTCAGGAAGGAAACAACACCCTTGTGAGTCCACTGTAGTCCGGTGTCTGTGCCCCAGTCTTCACTGATGTTCCATGGTGATCAGACTCAGAGAGGCTGGCTTTGAATGATACATTTTACTTATATAGGGAATGAAACACACTTTTCCAGGGAATAGGTTGCTCTGCCCTGTATGTCGTGTTAAGGGTACACTTTGCTGACATAGGCATTCTTCTGAAGTTTAAATGGTAATCTAACAAGTTCATAGCTGGCAGGAAAGCAGAGTGGTTTTGTGCGGCAGTTCATCTAGGCCAAAGTAAGTGCAGCTAGGCTATTTTATTCTGCCTGTTTCATAAATATATATGTGTCTGCTGATGTCAGTTTCAATAATTTTTCTGGAGCTGTAGACATTCCTTTTCTGAATTCTAGACTGTCCACCCTGCCTTCCCAATTGTACAACTGGAAAATAATACGAATTATTTAGATGTCATTATCAGTTTATTGCACCAAACAATTATCACTTATCTTGCCAAATAGTATATATTTTTGAATAAGACACAGTTTTTGTTCTCTCAGTCTTGGCACTATTGATGTTTTACAGCAGATAATTCTTTGTTGTGGAGTACTGTCCTGTGCATCATAGGATTCCAGCATCCTTCACCAAACAGGCATTACCATCCATCCCCTGGGAGGCAAAATCACCCTTATTTAAGAACCCACTGGTCTACAGGGAAGACATAGACATAAAGAGAATATTTTAAATATTTGTCATTTTTAGAGAATATGTTGGTTGGAGGGACTGAATTCAAGACTGACAGAATGGACATTCTTAAAGGTTTTTAAAAACAATCCTGGAATTTTTTTCTTTGTTCAAATCCAGATTTCTGTTATGTCAGCAAAGCAATAAAGTCTAGTAACATGTGCATATTAGCTACTATATAATAATAATTATTATTATTGTATTTTTAGTAGAGACAGGGTTTCACCATATTGGCTAGGCTGTTCTTGAACTCCTGACCTTGTGATCTGTCTGCTTTGGCCTCCCAAAGTGCTGGCATTACAGGAGTGAGTCATCACGCCCAGCCATAATTATTAATTATGTAATCTGATTTAGCAATTTAACATTACCTGTTCTTATAGAAATTGAACAACCAAATTGAATACTAATGAAGTTTCACCTAAGATTAAAATTCTGTGTTATATGTGTATATGCACATAGTAGTCACTGAGTAAATACTTATGAAATGAATAAAAGGCAGCAAATCATTATTCATTATTTGTGCTTCAGGCTTAAAATGATTCTGGCCGGAGGGTTTTGATCAGACAATAACAGATGGCCTGTGCCTTTCCACTGTTCTTTAAATGTAAAAGTAGAGAATTCACACACATCTCTGCATACTGCCCTAAAGCAAGGCATTACTTGAGCTAGCTGCATCACAGGGGACATATGATTAAATCGTAGAGTCCAGCAGTACTCCAGAAAGCCTATGAAGCATGCATGCGGTACTCGTCTTGTTAGTTGAAAATTCTGATCTTGGAACGTCTGGGTCAGCTAGGGATTGAAAACGAGTGGATAAGTGGTTCATCCCTGAAGCAGCAGCAAGGGCTGCATCTCTTCAGTCCCCACCAGGTGGTGCTAGTGCACCAGTTTCTTATGTTGTTCTTAAACTACCACCTCCCTTCTCTAGTGCCTAACTGGAGCTCTGCCTACACAGAGAAGCGGGGTAGAGATGGGGCGGTGGGGGGGGGATTGTTGTATACTGAGCTGCTTTAGCCCAAAGAATGGCAATAAGACATCAGAAGTGCTGCTTGTGATGCATTCAAAGTACTGAAGAATTCCAAAGGACAGTTTTTTAGTTTAGTTTTCATTTAGCTGTATAAAAAGAGCTGCTTTCCCTTGGGGCAAGTTAGAGATTATCTGAAAAAGTAATAAGCAACCCTAGTAACAGCTAGTAACTGCAAGAGGCTGATAGAATGACTGGTGGGCAAGCATAAGTTTAAAATGTCTTCCAATATATGAAAGCCGTTTATTTAAAAAATGTTCATTATTAGCAGTTTTTCTAGAATATAGAATACTGGAATTTATGCAGAGGTGGAATATTTTGGTAATACTTTTGTTAGTCTTTTATTTATTTAGAGCTTCAACCTACAGCTTTTGAAAAGCTCCTCTGTTAAATTATTTGTGTAAGGATAATTTTGTGGAGGATATAAGAAAGGATTTGTTTACTTGAGCAGATTTTTCCTCTTTTGTATAATGGCCAGTTTGTAGAAGATGACAACAAATGGAAAACAACCTTTGGTGCTCTTCTGTGGATTTGTTGATCCTAAAATCGTGTGTCCTTCGTGGAGATCCTTTAGCTCATCCAGCCACCTTGCTTGGTAATGTCACAGGTGTGGCCTTTGTTCATCATACAATTAAATGGACAACAATGATGACATTAGGCTTATTTTCAAGACATTCTATTTTCTTTCATTCTGTGTCTAATTTTAAATATTTTAATAATTAACTTTAAAAAAACTAGAACATTTAACGAAAAATAAGTTTGGTTATAGTGGTCTCCGTTCAATTAAGTTTGTTCTTTCTTTCCTTTTCTTTAACAGTATTTCACTTTTGTGTAAAGTAATTATTAACGTAATTGCTGCCCCAGCCAAAAATATGCTACAGGTTGCTATCAAAAAGTACCAGATTATTAACTAGAGGCATCCTGTTACAGGGAAGAAATGAAAATGTTAAGAAATCGTAAGAAATGAAGTGTTACCTGAATGGGCAAAGGGCTGCCGTATCGAAAAGGGAGAACCATTTTCTCTGTCAGCTTAAGCATTCTGATATTTAATGCAGATTTTATATTACTTAGTATTTGTAATACCTGCCGATTAGAATGAATTCCTTTGCTTCTGAATGACTCTTCTGTTTGGGAAAAGTTATC